ATACACAATTGGAAAGTATGTGTGTATGCTGTCAAAGCTTACTTATTACAATAAACAACTTTTCACTCTCTAGAGTGGTAAGTAGCCATTGAAATGCTGCATTTTGGGTGAGCCTAGGCTCTGATGAGGAAGGAGCATAGGGAAACGGGTTCCTGAGGTATGTGACACCCTTTGTTTGGCTTTGCTTCAAACAGGAATATGCTGGACCATACACCTAGGCTGTCCCCTTTTGAAGAACATTACAACTAGCACATGGATCTCAGATACTCTTGAAATATGGCATGTTACTGCTCCTACTTCCAACGAGTCTCAGACTTTTGGCTCTAATCTGATTCATCCTGCTGCCCATCAAATCTAGGACATTTTCTGCCAAATGACTCAAAATCTAGTTATGCAGATGGTGATTAAATTAGTTCATGTCTAATAACCTCTTTGAGCTCCACTATCTGAAGGGGAAGGCTTTTCATCAAACAGACTTACTCTGCATTTAACTTGCTAGCTACAGGCTAAAGTCTATTAAAGAAACATGTAACTATTTTTACAATGCTACAGAGGTGACATTTAGCTTTCCTAACACAGCAATCTGTTTTCTCTACAAGGGTTTACTTTAACGAGATTTCAACCTTATTGCTATCTCTTGCAATATTTGGAGATTTTATTCAAAATGCTTTCACACATACAAATGACTTGAAAACACATCTTTGACAGTTTCTGAGTCTATAACCTTCATATAACCAATAGAAAAACAGGTTTTGATGACTGCCAAAGATGAACACTTTACATCTTTTCCATTAGTTTCCCTCCCTTAAAAGTTTGCTCTGAGATGATGACATGAGAGATAGAGCAGCTAAGTACTCTAGACTCATGGAAAGAGAAAGGCTGTTTGCTGGCAGCCAGGAGGCAGACTTGCAGAATGTGCCCTTGTTTAAATGATTATATATTCCTGAGTGTTTTTGTGTACATAAAAAAAAAAAGATAGAATAGTAGCAAATACTATCAAATGGTGATGCATGGAGGGGATTGTAATCATTGCAATGAAGCGAAATATGATAGTATGAGTGCAAAACTGATGTTTCCCCATGTAAACTATCACTCAATTTCTAATAAAAGCTTTAAAAAACAAGTTTGCTGTGAAATTACACTGTTTTAACTTTCCAACTCCTGCTATGTGATACTTGGTTTTCTATACAGTCAGTCCCTGGTTACAAATGTCCAACTGATTACAGACAACTCCTACTTGCCCTTGCATGTTGTATGAACTTGCCTTCACTTTGAAAGATTGAACCAACACCTGTTGTTGTTATTGTTAAGTGCTGTCAAGTTGGTTCCAACTCATAGCAATCCTGTAGAGGGTTTTTGAGGAGCAGTTAGTGAATTTGAACTGATAATCTTACAGTCAGCAGTCCAGTGCTTACCTAACAGCACCACACAAGGATTCCAACTGAATCCATACTTGCATGTGTAGCTTTTAAATCCCTGGAAAGGCTTTCAATCTCTTCTTGTACTAAAGAAAGGCTAAATAAAAAATATATGAACCTATTCCAACTGACCTACAAATTAGACTTAAAAGACAGACACACTTAGGAACAAATCTCATTCATAACTCAGGACTGCCTGTACACAAACTCCTGAAGTAAAGTATAACCAGGTTTGAATATTAACACCCTACTGTTCTTTTTTAAGATTTTCAATCTCAAACCAATGTAAACCTCAAAGGTGATTTTAGTCCATATGTACCAAATGAACCACAATTAAGTAAATTTATATAGTCAGCAATCTGCAAACATCTGAACCAGTTTCTCTGTCTATTCCTTGCAGTAATAATATTCACTGCAGGTAGTAAATTTCCTCCCTCAGAAAATCTGTTTATGAAATGTCATTCTATTCACTTACTGCTCCTTGGCACACCCACAAGTCCCATGGGCCAGTGTGTCTGTGTCCATGTTCCTCTTTGAAATAAGCATTTCTCACCTACGTAGTCAAAGCTGATCAACCATGAAGACACTTTTTTTTTTTTGACAGTTGTTGGAGCTTGAAATGGGAGAGGAAAATAAACTGAAGAAATTCTTTCAGATATGGATATGAAGAGCCTTCTCCTCCCCTCTACCCCACCCCCACTTCTCTCCAGTGTGAACTATTACACAATAAAACATTAAACATTTGGTTTACAGCATTGATGTTTTCACTTCAAATGAACAACTCTCAGAATACATGGTCAATCAATAAACTTACTTTGAAGGAATGACTCTAAGTAAATTGGAATAAGATGCATACACAGATCTAGATGCCCCCTCATTATTGATTCTAATTCTTAGTTTCCTAATAAGCCAGTTCTTAATCCTTAAGGGAGTGTGGGTTTAGTTGATATATTATGTCTTTTCTTGCATTTCTTGGGGTAATTACCTTCACTAGGATTTTGCCTTTCAAACTTTGAGGGCTTGGAAGTTGTTTGCACTCTTCTCCTGTGTCTACAGAAGACAGATCCAGTTTGTCTCGAAATATTCCCTTCAGGTACTGGGCAATCTTCCTTTGTTGTTGGACACTGCAGTGATTCTCAATGGACAATATAACCGGAAATCTGAAAAGAACAGCAACACATTCTAAAGGGATTGGGTAAAGGCAACTCACAGGGACTTTTGAAAATTATTCTGGATGTAGTGAGCTCTTGCACAAGGCTTGACAACCTTCTTTGAGAATGGCAATGATTAACACACTTCGAAAATGAGAGAGTTGAGATGCACTTATAAAAATCTAAGTTCTCCTGAACAAGTATATTTTGTTATGCATAATGGTTGAACAAAACACCAGTTCATGTGGGTTGAATAAACCTAATATTCTGGATCAGTAAAAAAATGGTAAGTACATTATAAATTTAAAAAAATTTTTTTTGTAAACATAATAATCATAAAGAAAGAAAACTCCTATAATTTTGCCTTATTAATTCAAGTACAGAAACATCTAAGGGACCACTGAATATCATTAGCTATAGTTATTTATTCTAAATATATATACTTATATTCTAAAAATATATATAATCAACACTCAGCTTGAAAATAACTATTAATGCTAAGTAACATAATGCACTTCTATGTTTTATAGCCCCCTATATCAGGCATTTCAAATCATATAAAATTATGTATTAGTCTTTACTCTCAAAAAAGAATCAAGCATTCACTCTATCATTCTCTTAAGTTTCTGTGCTGAAATTCTGAGACCTGCATGAACTGACGTACCCAGACAGCGCAAAGAATTGGTGGGCAAGACAGAAAGGGAACCAGATCTGATTACATTTTACTTACCTTCTGTTTGTTTGTTTTCTTTCATAATACATAATGAAATTATGTTAAATTGATAAGATATATTCAGAAATAGTAGGCAATGTATTTTTTTCCAGAAAATATATAACTAATATTTAAATTGGTCAATATATTTATGTACAGAAGTAAATTCTACTTGTGGGCTCTTATGACAAGCCCAAGGTCTACAACTGCCCTCTGCCCTTCTGAAATTACATTCTCTCCTCATTAGTAAAACCTGAAGCCTAAGGTGAAATTAGAGACAAGCTTTGTGACTAGAATGGGTTTGGTTACTAGACTACAATCAGTTTGCTCACTGTATCTTCTCACAGGTTTCACCCTGGAGTGTTAGGAAGACAGAGAAGCAACAACTACCAACCCTGAGTTCTCTCTGCAATCACATCAGGGAGTGTGAACAATTAATTTGTAAATCATAAAAAGTCTATTAGGACCTACTGATACTTAGTGTAAAGCGTTGCTTCTCCAGGAGGGATTTGTGTCCCCTTTACCCCCATCCTGGGGACATCAATTAGTATTTAGACATTTTTGGCTGTTATAACTTGGATATTGGATATCTACAGACTTATATCTAGTGGTAGATGCTGGTAGTCATTCTACAGGGCATAAGACAGTCTCCTCACAACAAAGAATGCTCTGGTCCAAAAGATCAATAGTGCCAAGCTTGAGAAACTCTGGTACAAAAGTGAAACTGAAATATAAGAAAGAAAATATAAAGGCTGAACTTTAAAAATGCACAGAATAAGCTTACTAACTGTTTTCATTTGAAGTGCCTTTCTCCTATGGGTTAGCAACCCTACAGTAAACACTATCAAGCTGTTGTTGTGTGCTGTTGTATTGGTTCCTACTCCTAGTGATTCTGTATAGGGTTGCCGAGGCTGTACATCTTTCTCCTACAGAGCAGCATGCTGGTGGATTCATATTGCTGACCTTTTAGGTTAGCAGCTCATCACATAACCATTAATCCACCATGGTGCCTATCAAAATTCATAGGTAGCAAGGACTAAAGCCGCCTACAAAATTCATAGGTAGCAAGTTTTCTTACCAGCCTATTTCACAGATTAGAAAATAATGGCAAAATTACTTCTCCAACTTGGCTAGGACTAGTAGAAACCACAGTGTTACAGAACCACCAGAATTCAGTACAGAAGATTTTTTTTTCATTTAAATGATAATATAAACTGAACCTACAGTGTAGCAAGTGTCTCTTATTAAAACTGCATTTTAACCTCATGATTAGTTAATGAGAAAAACAAATATTAAGAATGTTTTAAGGCTACTAACTTCTATAAAACTAATTTTATAAAACTGTATTCTAATTTACTTCTTTAAATTCAAAATAATTCCATGAATGCTTGGAACATTGTGGGCACCATACCAGGCACTAAAGAATGAATAAGAAATGAGTAAGACATCCTTGCATTTACTGGGAGCTCACAATCTTCAAAACCTAAAAGAAGGCAAGTAGACCAGTAATACTTAGAAAGTGCTACATGGTATGTCAGAAATATGTTGAGGGCTTGAAGGACAAAGAAGAGGGAGATATACATCAGTGGGTGGTATTAGTAAGTTTGCCAGAGGGACAATGCTTAGTCAGAGTTTTGTAGGAAAGACAGGAATTAGATATTCAAAATAATAAGGAAGGAGGTTCCAAGCAGAGAAAACAGCATGTGTGAGGGCAGGAAGGTGTGAAAGAACAAGGCCCACTGAGGAAGTTAAAAGACAGTTACTGAAGGCAGAAGCCAAGTATGTGTGGAACAATGATGGAAGATGGCCCCAGAAGAGAAGAATCAAAAGACGTTAGGTCTTGAAGGGTCATGGTGGACATGCAGAGGATGAAACAAAGGGAGAGTGAAAATGGAGAGAAGGCAAAGAGTCAAAAGATATTTAGGAACAGAATTGGCAAGGACTGGAGGAATCTAGAACTACTTCCAGTGTTGCCCATGACTGTAAAAAGAATAGAGCAATAGGAAATTTGGCAGAATAAGATGATGAGTTCAGTTTTGAGGGTAAGCTTCTAGTCAGCAGGGCTCTCATCTTTTGTTCAGTACTGTGGTCTCTGCACAGTCTGTCTGGCTTATAGTTCCTGTTGTTACTTGCCATCGAGTCAATTGTGAGTCGTGGCACCACATGTGTGCAGAGTAGAATTGCTCCTAATGTTTTCAAAACCATGACATTTTATTGGCAGATTGGTAGGTCTGCCTTCCAAGGTATCTGTGAGTGAATTTAAACTGTCAATCTTTTGGCTAGTAGTCAAGCACTTAACCATTTATGGAATACAGGGCTTCTGACTAGGCACCATTGAAATATCTGTGGAACAAGTAAATGAATGAAGGTTGCTGTTATGTACCTATGGAGTTTTGCTGTGGTGCCATAGGATAAGCACTGAACCAGAATATCGGTTTGAATTGCAAGGTCAGTGGTTCAAACTCACTAGTCCTACCTCAGAAACCATATATAGCATTGCTCTGAATCAGAATTGACTCGACGGCACTTAACAACAACAATGGGATACTCAGATGAATTTTTATTGAAACTTTTTAATGCAGATCTGGAACCTAGATAAAGTTCTGGACATATAGTTAGACATGTATCTAAAATAAAGTAGACCAACGTCAATACTTCAGCAAACATTAATTATTAGGAGAATAGGGAAATAGAATAGAAGAGCAGAGGTCAAAAATAAAGACGAATGAGAGTCTATGATAGCAATGGCAGAGAGAACATCACAATGAAATACAAAAAAGCAAGCAAACAGTCAACGTTATCAAATGGCAAGGAGGAGTCAAGCAACATAAAGACGCCAGACACCTTAGTATATCTCGGGCATCTAACAAGTCTAAAAACTCATATATTATTCTCTTCTTGTACTGTAATATAGTCTCAATAAATGAGCATGCATTTCCAGACTATGGACACTTTGTACATTCCAAGTGTAGAAACTGAGAGCTCACTCTGTCTAAAAGTGTTTTCAAGCAATCAAGGTAAGAGAAAATGGAGCAAGGTATAAATGAAATATGAGAAAATCTAAACAGGGAGCCTGAATTATTTGTTCATGATGTTTTGCTAAGACGGAAGGAGAGAAAAGGGATAGTAGGAAGGGAAATGTAGAATCCAAGGTTTTGTAGTCACATGTCACCTGGTGATATTCTATTTATAGGGTTTGGCTCTCAGATATTGCTATACTTACTCATTCTTCACAAAGGCGTGCTTGTTGATGGTCTCCACCACATCTCTGAAGAGAATTTTGGAAGTGAGGGTATAACCATGGTGTACCACTGGTTCCCCATCTGGGCCGTCCCAACAGTCAACTGTCAAAACCAGAACTTCATGTCAACAACCCAAAGCCAATCGTGTATATTAATTCTTCAGGAAATATCACACATGTATTTTAAGCTATTTTAAATAATAATAATAATAATACCCAATACAATCATGACAATAATAGCAGAGAGAGGAATGCATGCTCTGCCATATGTATTATAGTAAGAGACCACTACCATCAAGACAATTCCAATTCACAGTGACGCTGCTACCCTATTGGACAAAGTAGAGTTGTTCTATAGGATTTCCAAGGCTGCAAATTTTTATGGAAGCTAACTGCCATATCTTTTTCTCATGGAGGGACTGGTGGGTTTGAACCAATGACTTTTTGGTTAGCAAACCAACACTCAACCCACTGCACCACCAGGGCTCCTTATGGTGGTGTCGTGTGCCGTGGAGTCCATTCTGACTCATAGCATCCCTGCATAGGGTTTCCGAGGCTGTAAATCTTTATGGGAGCAAAGCCTCATCTTTCTTGCATAGAACATTTCGAACTGCTAACCTTGAGGTTAGCAGCCTGATTCATAACCATTGTGCTACCAGAGCGCCTTAGGACTCCTTAGAGTGAGAACTGAAGATAATAAATAGTTTGGCTTTGAACATTTATAGTTAGCAAACGAGTACTGGTGTGGTGCTGCAGGATAAGGCATTAAACCCCAAGGTCAGTTTGAACCACTCCTCGAAAACCCTATACAGGGCTGGTATTGGGCTGGAACAAACTCAACAGCACTTAACAACAACAGCAAGTTAGTAAAACATATCAAGTTCATTAAGTTAGCCTAACATTTGCAAAAAACTTTCTTTTACAGTTGATCCAAATCTAATCAAGTGGGCCCAAGGACTTAGAGGTATTTCTTAAAAGATTATTCTTCCAAATTCACTTTTCCAGGTTACTAAGAGGAGTCCTGGTATGGTGCTGTGGGCTAATGCATCAGACTGCAAAGTTGTTTGAACTGCAAGGTCGCTGGTTCAAGCTCACCAGCTGCTCCTTGGAAACCCTACACAGAGTCGCTATGGGTCGAAATCAACTCTATGGCACTTCACAACAACAAGAAAGCCTCTTGTTACGTTGGAGAGTCCTCAAATCAATTACAGAGCTTTTCGTTATTGTTTCCATTCATTTATTTCTATTCTAATAATTTTAGTTATAAAAACAATGTTGACTTCCTAAATTTAAATTCTCCACTCCTGCCAAAATTTATATAAATATGAGCAAATTATTTAATTATATAGAACCTTGCCTTCCCCAGCTATAAAAGAGTAATAATGGTGCCTCATAAATTTGAGTGATGATTAAATACATGCAAAGTACACTACTTGACATATAGTAACACTTAGTGTTAGAATAGAATTATTGTTATTATAGAACACTACTTGACATATAGTAACAATTATTGTTCTTGATATTAATGATCTTGTTATATATGCAAACTTATTGCCTTCCAGCTGGAAAATGGTACAATCACTTCCTTATCACCCTTTCTTGACTTAGAATTTGTCTTCCTTTATTTTACACCCTATTATTAGACTAATTTATTTTAAAAAAACAAAAACAAAAAAACAATTGCTTTCATTCTACTGTTCCTGTGCTCAAATACCAACTCAGTGTACTGCAAAGTGTCCAACACATAGGCACTAAGTAACTATATACCAAATAGATAGTAAATTTCCTACTGAAGCTTGTGACTTCTTTACTCAAAGGTCACTATTGCTTGTGCTAGGGATAGGTTTGCCACTCAGTGTGCCTATTTTCTCTTTTGCCCAGTCACACAGTTGCACTACATTTTGCAGCCTCACTTGCAGTACGATGTGTCCAATGAAATGTAGATAGAAATGGAACACACCACTTCTCTCTAAGTCTGGTCCATGAAAACTGACCTTACACAGCCATCCATGTTCTCTGCTCTTCTGCTTTGACTTTTGAAGTCAAGTGCCGACAATAACCTGGCACAAGATGGACAGTACCTCAACCCCTATGTCATTGCTTGAAACATTCACTCATAGGAATGTCCACTTTGGACTTCATGTAAGCAAGAAATAAACTTCACGTGTTTTAAGGCACAGAGATTTTGAGATTTACTGAAAAGGAAACTGTAGATGATAAGTGCTGTCAAGTCAGTTCTGACTCATAGTGACCCTGTATAGGGTTTCCTAAGAAATGATGGTGAGTATGAACCACTGACCTTGCAGTTACTAGTCCAGTCTAATCCTACAGCACCACAGCAGGACTCCATTAAGGAAACTACTGTTGCCTTAAAATTAATACCCTATCTTTTGTCTGACAGGTCAATCTTCCCTACACCCAAACTCATAAGACTTGTTCTTTCAGTTAAGCAATTTCCCCATCTACAATCCTACTTTCTTACCTTTGCTTCTCTCATATTTTTGATAAATGGAAAAGTCCCTTTGCACTTTGGTTATTAAATTCCAATCAGGGCTGAGCTAGAATCCCATAAGATCTCTCCCTTCCTCATATCAAGGTTCACATACTCAAATGTCAACAAGAGTCTAGCAGTTAACATAAAAAAGTAAAGTAACCTAATAGAACATGTGCGCCAGAAGTTGTTATATGCAGTCAAAGTTGGTTCCGACTTCTAGTGACCCTCATAGGGTTTCCAAAGTTGGAAATCTTTAAGGAATAGAAAACCTCATTTGTTCCCCCAATGTGTGTCTAGATGTGATAAATCCCTCTCATTGTCAATCATTGCTAAGTAGGAATGAGGACACTGGTTGCCAAATCTTCTGAGAAAAGTTAAAAATCTGTATTTTATTGCTGTGATTCTCCCCTGTTTTTAAATATTGGCAATTAATCCATGTGGATCAAACATAAACACCATGTGGATCAAACATAAACAAGTTTCCAGGCTGGATTTGGCTAACAGAAAGCGAACTGAAATCTCTACATTTTAATGAGGACCCCATGGTTCAGAATGACACTTGCTCTTCTACTTCATGTTCTCTATTATTCAATGTTAGAATCCTATACCCATAGCATGGAGTCCTGGTATGGTGTTGTGGGTTAGTGCACTGGACTGCAAAGTTGGTTTGAACTGTAACATCAGCAGTTCAAGCTCACCAGCTGCTCCTCGGAAACCCAATAAAGGGTTGCTACGAGTCAGAACCAGCTTCACGGCACTAAGCAACAACAACAGATCCATAGCATAATAGGTGTTCAATAAATATGCATTACTCAGAGCATATCCTCTATGCATATGCTTTGTATATCACCACAGGAAATAGCTCCATTTTCCTTCCAAAACTTTCAAAAGGTTCACCGTAAACATAATCCTAGCTGTTTCACTGGTAGCGTAGTGGTTACAAATCGGGCTGCTAACTTCAAGGTCAGCAGTTCGAAATTACCAGTCGTTCTGCAGATGAAAGAGTAGGCTTTCTGCTCCCATAAGGATTTATAGCCTTGGAAACCCTGTGCAGGGTCACTATAAGTTGGAACCGACTCCATTGTACTTAACAACAACAACAAGAACAAACTAAATCAACTAAATACTGGCTGTTCAAATATCATTATGAAAATAATTGGAGAAGCAAAAAGGGCCGTCAAATTTATGTTGTAGGAATAATAAAAACAAAATTTCAGAATGAGGATGCTGTGAGAAGACCAAAGGTCTTGGGGATACCATCTTACAAAAACTATCATACTATTCCTTATGGCCCAGAAATGAGGTCACATCTATCAAAGACATCTTCTCAAGAAAAGTTTCATCCATCTTCTTCCATATTGTTGCTGTGTTAAGTGTCAAGTCAGTTCCAACTCACAGCGACTCTATGTACAACAGAACAAAACACTGCCAGGTGTTTAAAACACTAGTCCTCCGCACAATTGCAAATACGCTAAACCCATTGCTAGTTCCACTGTGCCAGTCCGTCTCATTGGGGATCTTCATTTTATTCTTTGTCCCTCCACTTCATCAAGCATAATGTCCATCTCCAGGGATTGTTCCCTCCTGATAATATGTCCAAAGTATAAGACACAAATTTTAGCTATCTAGCTTCTAAGGAGCATTCTAGTTGTCCTTTTATCAAACAGATGTGTTTGTTCTTCTGGTAGAAATGGCACCTTTAATATTCTTCTCCAACACCATTACACAAAGGCATCAATTCTTCAATGGTTTTCCTTATTCACTGTCCAACATTCACATGCATATGAAGCAGCTGTTGAAAATACCATGGTTTCGATCATGTACACCATAGTCTTATAACTGACATCTTTTCACTCTAACACTTTAAAGAGGTCTTGTGCAGCAGATTTACCTAATGCAACACACCATTTGATTTCTTGATTACTGCTTCCTTTAGTGTTGATGGTGGACCAAGCTAACCAAAGTCTTTGACAACTTCAAAATTTTCAATATTTATCATAATGTTGGAGTCCTGGTGTGGCACTGTGGGTTAATGCACTGGACTGCAATCTTGGTTTGAACCACAAGGTCAGTGGTTCAAGCTCACCAACCACTCCTTGGAAACTCTATACAGGGTCGCTCTGGGTCAGAACGGACTCAAACGGCACTTAACAACAACATCATGATGTTATTTATTGGTCTCTTTACATTGTTCTCTTTACACTGAAGTACAACCCATGCCAAAGGTTGTGCTCTTTGATCTTTATCAGTAAATACTTTTCACTTTCAGCAAGCAAAGTTGTATCATCTGCATATCACAGATTGTTAATGAGCCTTTCTCCAATCCTGATGCCACGTTCATATTCATATAATCCAACCTTCATTTATTTGCTCAGCACAGCCTGAGTAAGTATGATGAAAAAATAGAACCCTAGCACACATCTTTACTGATTTAAAACAATTCAGTGTCCCCTTGTTCTGTCTGAACAACTATCTCTTGCTCTATGTACAGTTTCCTCATGAACAGGATTAAATCCTCCAGAATAGTCATTCGACACAGAGTTGTGCAAAGCATGTCATGATCAACAGTTGAAAGCCTTTGCTTAGTCAATAAAGCATAGGTGAGCATC